ATTGAATTTCATCTGCCATTCTGTTGCCCAGTCACCCAGTTTTGTGAGATCCTTTTGTAGCGCTTCGCAGTCTGCCTGGGACTTTTGAGTAGTTTTGTATCATCTTTGCCACCTCACTGTTTACCCCTTTTTCCAGATCGTTTATGAATATGTTAAATAGTCTTCCATGTAGGTCAGTGAGCTTTGGGTCAGGCCCTTATTGAATGTCGATGTTAAAGGACTGGCCGGCTGGTGTGCGTTACGACACTGAAAACTGAGTTAGGAAGTGTATTGACCGGTCTAAATGCCAGGTGAATGGCTCTTGCAGGGTGACTGGCCCTTTAAATGGAGAGGGGTCCATCCAGCCCCACCTGTGACCCACTTAGCTCGCCTCCCCAGGTGGAGAAATTGAGAAAAGTCCCGTGTCAGGCAGGTCATGTGGCTAAACCAGACCTGGGGGTGTGGGGTGTTGACAAGAGAGAAGCCCACAGAGACCCCAGCTAGGGGGAGCATCAAAGGAGCCCAGGACAGGCTGACGAGGACACAGATCCCCAGGCATGGGGACATGGGCCCAGCATGAGATGGGGGCAGAAGAAGACTTGTGTGTTTGTTTTGGACTGGGGTCCCCTGGAAGGGCTGGACTTTTCCTTTAATGGCTTTGCTGGAGGAGCAAACTCCCGTTCCAACCCAGCCGGGCTGGATGAGAAGAAACACAGGCAGCGGCTAGCCCAGAGCCAGACCGGGTAGGCGGCATCGCTGCAGTGGGGTATCCCCTCAGTTTTCCCTTTTGATTTGCAGTTCACCGTTGTACAACCAACACACCTGGAATGACTGAACACAGCAGCCTTGTATCCAACCCTGCGCACACGCATTTTAACCCAAGAGCGGCGGTGGTTTCTGCACACTCGGAAGGACTGGACTTTTATCAGTCAATGTCGATTTCGCCAGACACACAAAAACGGACGGAAAAACATTTCCATTGATAATGATTGAAATTTACAGCTAGGCCAGGTAAGAAAAATGCTGCTTCAGAAGATATTAGAATGTGATTGAAGGCTATTTACGGTGTCAGCCTGGCATGTCAAAATACACAATGACAAAGCTGTGTGTGCAGCTCCTCTGTCTTGTGTGTGGTTGGACTGTGATACCCTGGAAGGGGGCTGAGCTTCCGCACTGACCCAGCCAGAGAGCTGAGCCAGCTGAACCGTCCCAGCAGGTGGGGAAACTGAGACTGGGGAAACTGAGGCAGGGCACCGGCAGCCCGTGCCCAGCCAGGAGGTGGTGGCAGCCCATTCGCAGTCAGGTTTAGGGGGCTCTGAATGCTGAGCCCCAGCATGGCAGGGCAAAGGAGCAGGGAAGGGTCCAAACCCAGGCCCATCGACAGCTGTGCTGCTGCGGCTCCCGTTTGCAGTAGGGGAGTGAAAAGACCCCGTTGCAGATGCAGACGTCGCCCCACGCAGCCAGGAAAGCTCCTTGCACTGGCCCTTCGGCTCAATCCAGCCTCTCTTTGTCCCGGGTGAGGATGTGCACCATGACGATGGCTGTGACCAGGGCTCCCAGCAACACCAGCAGGAGAATCCCCTTCACCTGGCAATAGCTCGCTGGGCTGCTCGCGAAACCTGAAGGAAGAAACGTGACAGGGTTAATTCATGCGGGGAGCGATTGGTGACGCTCTGAGGTTGCTGCAGCCATAGAGTGCAACAGGGGAAGGGGCCGGGACACCTGGGAACCCGCGCCCCAGGCTGCAGAGGAAAGTGGAAAAAAAACCAGGGTCTCTGCCAATGTGACCTAGGGGCAAATTCCTTCATGACCCCAGCGTCCCACCATTGGATCTCGTTGTGCTCTCTTCAGCTAGATTAAAGAGTCCTCTGCAATCAGAAATCACTGATATTGTAGGCTAAGATCCAGTCACCTGTCAACCTTCTTTGAAACTAAATAGATTGAGCTTCTAAAGTCTCTCTTTATAAAGTGCATTTCCCAGACTCAAATTCTTGTTGTAGCTCTTTCCTGAACCCTTTCCAGCTGGACAGTTGTGACGGTCTGTACCTCGTGGGAACACCCTATACCCTCATGTTCATCCTTATATGATTATGTGGTATCTAATGCAAAGTTTGTCATGTTGAGTGTGTCTTCAGAAGGCTCATGATGTACTGAGCATTGTTGTTACGGTAATGTTATAGGTTGTAATTTCATGTATATAGTTATGAGGCTGAAAATGCGTCCTCATGGCTTAAAGCAAGCCCAGGCAAAAACTCCCCAAGAGGAGAGGGGCAGTTCACACCTCATCAGGACATGTATAGGACAAACCCAGCCCAGCCTCACAGGAACAAAGGACACTGGCCTAGACAACAACAAAGGATCTCTTGGACTCTCCAGTGAGTCACCCCCCTTCCTTTGGACAGTTTGGGACTGCGATGAGGTAATGCTCACCTGACTCTAAAGGGGGCCGGGGCAAATCCAAGAGGGTAAAAAGAACATGATAAAAGGGAGAGACGTTTGCCATGCTCTTTCTCTCTCTTCCACCTCCATCTACAGACATCACCAGGAAGCGACTGAAGCGCTGATCAAAGGGGAGAGCCTGGCTGAAGGGCAACCAACCAGCCTGTGGTGAGAAGCATTTAAGTTTGTAAGGGCATTGAAAGTGTTAAGATCAGCTTAGAATGCGTTTTGCTTTTATTTCATTTGACCAAATCTGACTTGTGCTTTGACTTATAATCACTTAAAATCTATCTGTTTAGTTAATGAATTTGTTTGTTTATTCTCCCTGGAGCAGTGCATTTGGTTTGAAGTGTGTCAGAGACTCCCCTGGGGATAACAAGCCTGGTACATATCAATTCCTTTGTTAAATTGACAAACTCATATAACCTTGCAGTGTCCAGTGGGCATACCTGGACACTGCCAGACGGAGGTTTCTAGGGTTGTGTCTGGGACCGGAGAGATTGGCTAGTGTCATAGAATCATAGAATCATAGAATCATAGATTATAGGACTGGAAGGGACCTCGAGAGGTCATCGAGTCCAGT